TTTCCTTGTTATTGCAGCACGCAAGACTCGTAACAGTGTCAACTGATCCCACGCAATTTTTGATACACAGCCATGCGGTTATGCCCTTACTATACTTTGTTATTACTGGTGTGCACACTGTACCTTTTCACTTCAGTACTGAAAGAGCGGAACAAAGTGCACTTTGTTGGCTGTGTAAACTCTCTACAGAGAGCAAGTGCTTAGTCAACTCCTGCTTTGACCTTTTGCTTTTCAGCCACTAAAAAGCCCATTGTGGTAGATTCTTCTTCATTCTCTCAACATCACCTTCTGTCCTGTGAATTTCAAACCCAGAGCTTCCCCCAGTCCAGGCATGGCCCAATATGGGTAACAAGTGCTGACCTGATGTTTGGGAGCTGTGTAACTACTCTTCCCCTTTATTAAAGGCAGTGATTCTCTGCTTCAAAATTCAAGCCTGCATAGAAGACATATGCCAGATAAAAGGCTTAAGGAGAAGTCAGAAACCTCCTGGCAGGAACGAGCAGAAGCAGAATCAAAGCCAGCAAAAGCTCCTTATGAGCAGAATTTATAAGACAGGCAACATGATCAAGATTAAATGGCTTTACGTGAATACTGGTGGTAGGGAAAAAAAACCCAACCAACCAATCTACCCAATCACACAGCTTAAATAGTAACATATCTTGGACTTGGCAGAACTGAGGGAGTTATTTTGACTCTTGACACCAAGGCAAAAAACTGGTGGAAGTGACAGTGAACTACATCAGTATGGAGTATCTGTTACATGACTGTAGTTAGAATAAAGTTAAAAAGGACTTGAATGAGGACTTGAACTCATCTCCTCAGCTTGAGCAAACAGGGTGTTTAGGTTTTTAGATGCTGTAAGAAATCACTTCCATGAGTCAAAGCTTTAGAAGCAATATTCTTGGCAAAGTCCTGAATTATGCAGGGAACCTGCGTTAAGAGTCAACTACCACAGTCCACACAACACACACACCCCAGGTCCTTGTTTGAGCAAGAAATCTAAAATAACCTGCAGCCTCAAAGCTAGAAGATAAGTTTCAAAGGAAATCAAAATTAAGTCTTTACAGGTAGCACAATATTCTTAACTCACTTAAGTTCAAGGCTAAATGGGGTGCCAGAATCATCAAGGTCAGTAACAAGTAGCATAGTTAGATGAGTCTGAGACTGATTCAAGAAAATACACCCTTCTTTCAAGAAGACATGCCTGAAGAAGAGCAAAAAGGTGGATAATCAAAATTTAAGCGTAAAAAGGAAAATAAGAATAACAAAAAAGAAATCAGAAAGAAGTAAAAAGTACCTGTGAGGAATAACTGACTGAAGGCACAAACACAACCATCTTGTTAAAGACCACCAAACATACTTGCCCACAGGCCAGGGAGATGATACCCCAGCAGCTGGACTGAAAGGCTGGAAATGCAGGCGGTGAAAGAGGTTATCACGTCTGAGCTACCCTTCACAAGAAGAGTTAAATACAGCTCAAATGTGTAGGTGTGTGTGTACATGAACAGACTTAGCACCTAAAAAAAAGACAAATTTCCCAGCTATTAACTGTGATGTATAACCAAATTTATCTCCAGGAAAAGCTTTCAAATCTGACCAGAATTTAGGAAGACTGGGGAGATCCATGGCACTACTAACAGTAGAATGGCATTCATCAGTATGTACCATAACAAAGGATAGAAATACTAGAGATGGGCATAGAGAAGCTGTGGCTGCCCCATCCCTGGCAGTGTTCAAGGCCAGGCTGGACAGGGCTTGGACCAACCTGGTCTAGTGGTAGGTATCCCTAGTGGGTGGTCTTTAAGGTCCCTTCCAAACCGGTCTAAGATTCTACAACCCTATACATGGGCAGAAGCAGTGTCTTTTGCGGAGACAGGTCTCAGATGTGAGGGAGTATTTGGAGCAGCAAACAAGTACAGCAAGGACTGCAGTGGAGACCAGGCAATGCACTTGGATTTTCAATACTTGACACAGCTCTAGACAAGGCTCAGGTGCAGAACCTACACTGTTCACTTGTTTGAAGATACCCATTTTATAAAAGCAGAGAAATTTAAATAAACCCTCTTCCCCCTGACCCCTCATCTTCAAAGAATCACAGGGAACATCAGTGTATTGTAAACCAATCCTATGTGCTACCTAGAAGTATATGTAAAGGAAAAATGAACCCCAAATATGTTCTCGTAAGTTAGGGGAAGTTGCCAAATGTTAGGGAATATGCCAAAGGTGGCAAACAGAGCACTTAGCATTACTAGGAAACTGGGAGGGAACTTTGCATTAGTAACAAACAGGACCCCACACCACATGACAGAATGGGGAGCACCTGATGACATTACTAGAGAACCTGATTTTTAACACAGAACCCCGTCTTTCTCATACTGCAGCAGTTGAACTATGGTAGGTAAACTTTTGGGGCCAGAAGACAGAAATCAAAGCAAGCTGCCACAGGCCCAGCAGAGCACCTGCCCTCCATGGCCTGAGCTGCCCCCCATCTTGCTTCTTACTTACTCGGCTTGTAGTTTCCATTGGTGGCACACCACTCACCAATACAACCTTGTGGCAGCACCTTCTCAGGGCATTGCACTTGAACAATACACTTCAACTCAAATTTAACATCTTTTAATTTTCATTTTTGATTCCTTTTGCAAACAAATACAATGAGCTCAGTAGATCCAGTCAAAAGACATGAGTACGATGTTAAAAAAACCACTCGGAGTCCAATATATTAAGCATACTTATTTACTTAATCTATACAGAATTGAGTAGATAAAATTTCAGATTCACATTAGTGAAAAATCTCTACAAAATGTTCTTGAAAAGCAAAACAAAGACTGCCTGTTCATTTATCATTTTTCCTCATGAAAGCAGACATGGGTTGTAAAAATAAAGCAGTGTGTTTAGCACAAACTAGATTTCTGCATCACTTTTTTCACAGTTATTTCCATCTACAGTCCAAAGAGGTAGATTTTCTGCAACACCTGAGAATTGAACTGTAACGTAACCAGGTGTAACGAAAGGAAGGACAAAACATTAGAGATACAGCCCTAACTTACTTGTGTACATATACACACATTTGGGTCTTGAATCACATCCCATTTCGCTTTCTGCAGCTTAAGCATGGTGAAACTGTCATTTGGGCCCCAGACTTTTGACAATTAGACATACTTATTCCTGGCCACATCAGTTTAACAACCCAGGTTAAACAGTTTATGGTAGTTGGGAGAAAGGCATTCATACCAGTTTACTTAAAAACCCTACTGGAACCCACTTGGCTGCAGACTGGCAGTGCAATAGCCTGCTGTATGGCAGATCAGTTAAGAGTGCTGAGCTTATCCTTAGATGAATTTGTGGTTTTTAATTTTTATTTATTAGATGAATTTGTGTTTTTTAATTTTCATTTATTTTTTTAAATAACATTCTCAAAGCAATGCATTGACTGGTTTCAGGAAGCGACGTATAGCTCACTTTGGCCAGATAAGTCAATATGATATGGGTATGTTAAGGGTAGTAAAGAGAAAAGGGTATCCCCATTTTAAAAGCCTTTCATCACTTGGGGTGTTCTGCTTCATTCACATATTAAGTCAATAACAAATATATTTGTATTGCTGTTCTATACCTCTGTTGTGTCTCTAAAAGCCCTTTAAAATATTCTTGCAGCAGGGTGCAAAAAAATCACTCTTGCCTCCATATAGAACAAGCACTATAGAAAGAATTGTTAAAGATACAAATGTTCAAATAATAGATTGTAAAAATAGAAAACTGTATGTCCTACCTTGCCAAGGGTTTGATGCATCAGATACAAAGTTTTTCACTTTTCCTCAGGAAAATTACTTCATGCTTAGTGTTAGCTGAAAACCAGTTCTCACAACTACTATGTTTTTTTTTAAAACAGTCTGATTCTGTAGAGCAAGTAATTTGAAAAGCAAGTCTGAAATACTTCCAGTCTTTTTTTATGCCACATGGTTAGCACGATTAACATTTCAAAGCTCCTAGTCTAATGTGACTGACTGCTCACTGCTACCTTCTTTTCATTCCTGTATTGTGCTTGGACCACAACCACAAACCTTGCACAAATCTAGAAGAAAGACGGCCAGCTTCCCATTTGCTCCACCATTTAAGAAGCGTCAGTTTTGCACAGTTCCTCTTAGTGGTATGAGCTAAAACACATCAATTAGGCCTTACTTAACCTTACTCTCTCAGAGACAGCTACAATATCTCAATGTACATTACTACAGCAAAAGGATCAGGAGCTCAGTGCAGCCTGAACATTCAAGTAATTTGGCCACTAAATGGTCACGGGCAACAAGGGTGGGAAGCTCACTGAGAGATGTGCTGGATTCAGAAAACCTCTCCCAAGTAAGTGCAAAGAACTTTAAGTACCAGAAAAGGCTACACGTTTGTATTTCCTAACATGACAGCAACCAAAACTAGAAAGTAAATACATGGGAACTAAAGTTATGGGTAGCTTGCAGTTATTTCACACGTTGCCTTGTCAGAAGTTAAATGTTGGTCCTAGTTTCTCTCAGGAACAAAAGTCAAAATGTGGCTATCAAATTTTGTAGGAATTTTTTTTTATGGTTAACAAGGGAGCTTCTCTTGTGGTATGTTAAGAACTTGAAGTACCATCTTTACCAGATAACCTACCTGGAAAGGCACTCTGCCAACTGGTACAGCTTTGAGGTTGAGTGTGCAAGAAATTCCATGTTGTACTTCAAGAAAAGTATTTGAATCTACCTGTTCAATTATAACCAGTACATGCTTAACTTAAATACATTGCATATAGGGCTGTTAGAGAAAGCCTATATGCTACAGACTCGTGTTTTGCATGCCTCCAGCAGTAAATGTCTATTTTCCAGCCTTTCAGATAATCCGGAGATTTGTCTAGACAGCAATGGATTCCTCTAGTCAGGATAACCATGTGATGGACACACTGCAGCTAAGAGGGAAGAACATGACTAACACCCATGGAATAGGCTACACAATGGCAAAATCCCACTCAGTAATGTTGCTGTGAATTTTTTCACGTATTTATATTTAACACGTTCACAGATAGAGCAAATAGCCCAAACCAGCCTTTACAACACAACCCTGAGAAGCCTGCACAAAGTTGTACACCCTGTTTCACCAGCTGCAAACTGACCTACTTCAAAGCTGTTTTTTCATACCACAAAGTACGTAAAAGCCTTTAAACATCTTTTACTATGTCCTGAACCTTTAGTTTTCTATTCATATATATGAAAACATACTAGAGGGGAAAGCTGACATTTTTTTACTGGCCATTAGACAACTAATGCAGATAGATTTATTGGGGAAATCAGTATTCTTTAGTATATTGAGTGACAAATCAATGAACAAAACCAGAATGCTATTATTTAAACCAAAACGTGACCTGCTGTCACTTTTTTCCCCAGAACGATGTTGTATCTGTACATGGTCTTCCATGACAGTGATTTGTGTTGTGGGGAGGAAATGCACATGCATCCTTTTATGGAAAAATATTTTCTTTTAAAAAAATGAGGCAGATGTGCAACACAGTTGTGGAAAATTTATAGTTTAAGCTATTTAAAGCTGCTATGCAGCTTCCTGTACCACGTAAGTCCAGTAGTTCTAAGAAAATACAGATATGGTAGAAAAAGTAAGAAAATTTTCACCACAAAACCAAATAGTTACCACCAACAGAGAAAGTTATACACAAAATATATCTCTCAATACAGTGTTTACACTTCATTTTAGTCTACAGATTCAGTGCCAGGAACAGGACTTGTTGAGACAGTCTTTGCGGAATTATTTGCCACAAGTGATTCCACATCAGGTTGGATTCCTGGTTCCGTGTCAGTGGGAGTTCCCAGCTCTTCATGGGAATTGAGTGTGCAGGACTGCAACACCTGCACAGCTAGATCCACATCTGCTTCTCTGAGAGAAACCTGCTCCTTCAGGACTTCCACCTTCTCATTCAGCTCATTCCTCTCTGTCTGAAGAGCCCTGCATAGCTTTTCCAAGCGCTCCAGTTTTATCTGAAAACCCTTGTATTCTTTATCTCTTACTGTTTTCTGAAGGACGAAAGACAAAAAGCTCTGTGATCACACTGATTTTATTTTTCAGTTTTGTTTTTGTTTGGTTGTTTTGTTTTTTTTTTCATAAGTTAAAAGACTGACTACTATTTAATCCTGAATATTAAGTTCTAATTAATCCAGTAGGTCAAATTCCAGAGCAAATTTCCTTAGAATGCCTGACCACTACAAATGGCTTGTCTAAGCTGGAGTGGCAACACACAGCTTTAGCAACAAGCAATTGATACCTATATAACAGCATAATGCTAATTGTGAGGGCTGAGCATCAGTAAGGATCCTGATTCAAGGCATTTACAACCCAAATAATGGCAATTGTAGGGAGCAGAAAGGCACAAATGGAGAAAATCTACAATCCAAAATCCAGGTCAGCAGGTACCATAGTCCTGGCTCTCTTAACTAGCTCCTTAAAAGAACAGAGAAAGATAAGCAGTGCCATAGCAAATCTACAGGACTTAGCACAGCCTAGCAAGATTATACCTCATATACTTAAACTAGACCTTAGACAGTGCAGACAAAACTGTATGCCTATGGTTTCTGTGAAAACTGTTTTAGCTCCTCTTTTACTAGACTACAGTTAGGTAGGTAATGGCATCTCATAACCCCAAAAGCAGAAGCAGTGTAGAAAAGTAACTGATTCCTTACACATGTGTTATTTTCTTCATGTCTGTCTTGGGTATTTAAAATTTATTTTTATCACAGCACTGACTGAACTTTGCTCAGCATATTAAAATACAGTAAATTCATTCAGCTTGCATGATTTTATACACATTATCCCACCAATTAAACAGTAAGAAAAGATAAGGCTGATTTTGTCATGAGTTTAGATTTATAAATCAGCTTTTGGTTTTTCATGTCTAAGACCACCAGTACCATTTACAGAATAGAAACCATACAGCAGACAAACCAAGAGGCAGCTACTGTGCAGTATATTCAGTTCTTTAAAACTGAGAAATTGTACGAAGTTCTCCAGGCCACAGACTCTAGCTTAGCCATACTGCTGCTTAAATGACAGTTATAGAACCATAGAATCATAGAATAGTTAGGGTTGGAAAGGACCTTAAGATCATCAAGTTCCAACCCCCCTGCCATGGGCAGGGACATCTCACTCTAAAACATATCACCCAAGGCCTCGTCCAACCTGGCCTTAAACACTGCCAGGGATGAAGCATTCACAACCTCCCTGGACTACCTATTCCAGTGCCTTACCACCCTCACAGGAAAGAATTTCCTCCTTACATCCAACCTAAACTTCCCCTGTTTAAGTTTTAACCCATTACCCCTTGTCCTACCACTACAGTCCCTAATGAAGAGTCCATCCCCAGCATCAAGTTACCTCTTCAGCCATTTGCAGAAGAGCCTTGTTGTTGTTTTCCCATTTTGTACGCCACACTATGGTTTCCTTTTCCAGTTTCTTAATCTTCTTTGTCATCTGCAAGAGACAAACAGAAGACTTAATTTTGTGGCTTGTGTTGCAATGTAGGTAGGTTTACATGAGTAATATGACTTCTTATTGTTACTTTCCAAGTTCAGTTTGAACAAGTTGTTTTACAGGGAAGTCTTTCTGCTCAAAAATCAACCCCGCACATACAAATTCTGCATTCAAAGAAAACAAGATTGATCCTTAGAAGAAGCAGACTAGCAACTTTCAAGTAAAACTAATAAAGGGCTCCAGGGAAAGAAGTTTGAAAAAAGCACAGCCAAGAAGACTGAGAAGTATTTTATGCCTTTAATGAAACACTCAAATTAGGATTCAGGGATTACGTAAATGTGTTAAAAACCATTAAAAACCCTCCAAAACCATTTCTCTTCCATAATATGACAAATTCTTAAGCTTTACCTTATGATCCAAATTAACTTGCAAAATATTTCATATATTTTCAGAAAGTAAACACTGTTATAAAATCTAAAATGCATCCCAGTAACAGCAAGCATGTCTATATTACTTTTTATTAAACCAGGTAATCCTGTAAGTACCTTCTCCATTTCTTGCCTGAAGGTTGTAAAGAGTTCATTACTTTTTGCCATGGTGGTCTGGAATTCTTCAAACTTATCCATGTAAAGAGAAAGCTGTAGGAAAAAGAGGCACGAACGTTAATCCAAACAGCTGTATACAAATACAAAAACAGAGTACAAGGCAAAATTAAACTCAATATATTAGAGGATTAAAATCTTTTTTTTATACTATCCTATGATTTCCATTTGAGAAGCATACAGAACTTGTCTGAAAACCTGCTATAGAAACTGAATATAAAGGAGAGTTCTAAGATTACAGAACAGCAATATATTCTTAAGTAGAAAGGGTATTATGTCTAATAAAATGTTTGAAGACATCACAGTTCATCACTATCTCATTTTTGCTTCCTTACTGAAAAAAAAAACAACAAACAAACAAAAAAACCCTCGACAGATACAGAAAATTCAGTACCTGGTTAGTGAAATCATACTCAGAAAACCTCTCCATAACCAGCCAAAGGTAACAACCAAGACTGGGACAAAATAAATACAATTCATTCCAGAAATCAAATACACACTCACAATTATGAAATGTGCCCACTGAGAAAAAAAAAAAAAAAAAAAAAAGGGGCAGAGAATACTGACAAGGAATTCATTTAATAGTGCAAAGGGTTACATTTTAACAAGTGAAGAATATTAATCTACAATGACACAACATTTTCTTGCCCTTCATCACAAGGCTAATAACTAAGAAGGAACTGAAAAATACATTCATTAACATAACCTGTTTAAAGCAAAAAAATAAATCTCAAAACCTTATGGTCCTTACTAAAACAACCTATAATATCAGTGTGTGATTTGATGTTCTAAGAATACATGACCATCTTCCTAGTCCAACTGAAGAATAATCAGTTCTCTCAATTCTTACATTGAGGAGTAAAGGACAATACCATTCAGAACATAAATACTTTATTTTGCTCTAGTATTAGAGGCAACTTCATAACAGGAATTAGCTTGGCTTGTCAACAGTACATGATGATTACCGTTATTGTAACTGAACCTTCTCTAGCTCATCTTATTCTACAAAAGAATCTTTCAGCCCCAGGAAACCACGAACTATACACACTGTTACCATTAAAATGTCTAACAAAAGGGCAGTGGCATTTTGAATGAAGGGTAATCAACTACCAAAAAAAAAAAAAAAAAAACATAAAAGATTAAGCATGGCAAAAAAATACTTGGGATAATTTGGATATTAATGTATTGAAGTTCAGTGGAGATGTGTGCATATGATTACATTTAACTGCACAAATACACACACACTTGAAATAGAAACTGTTGGAGAGCCTGGAAAAGAATTAGGTATAGTGAGCATAGAAAAAGGAATGAAATAAAGCTTGCAAGGAGACTTAATACAAAGCCTCACAAAAAGTGAAGCAGTAAGAGGTATACAATAAAAGGAACAGCTACTGCTTCTCAGATGCTATGTCTGTATGTGCTGAACCAACAATTTCCCTCTGCCTTATGTGCTGAGCTTGCATTTGCACAATGACTGCAGGTAATCCAGAACCAAGGTGCAAAATCTGGAGGCTATCTCTCCACTCACAGAGAAGATTTTGCTGTAGCATTCATAGCAAGAAAACAATCTGAAGATAGCAGGTTTTTGTGGACAGAGACACTCTATACACCCACACATACATATAGATATATGAACACATTAAAACCAAACATGATTCATTCCAGCAAAATAAAACCGTAGAAGAGAAAACAACAGTTTCAGAGAAGCCAAGGAATGGTGAAGTAGCCACCACAATGAATAGATTGTTAGACTTTCATATATTCTGGTCCTTGTAATACTAACACTGTAAGTTAAGAAGTATACTAATTCCAGCAATTCAATGTTTAGCACCTCCCAGTTACAGTACTCTCCAGAAGTATTAAACAGCAAGCACAAAAATGTCTTTACATTTCACACTTCACTATTGAAGAGTTAAATACTGGAAATTAAAGGCAATTAAAAGACACCAAATAATTTTCACAAGTAGTGTATAACATCTGAATGATACATATCTGCATGAATGATAACATGTAGTTTTTCTACATGTTGCATTATGTTCACTACAATCGCAAATATTTTGGTTTTCTTTTTAGAACAAATGTATTGAAGATGACTCCATAAAAAAACCCAAACCAAAAAAACCAAAAACAAAACAAAACAAAACCCAAACAAAAAACAACCCACAAATTAAAAACAAAAAAACAAAACACACACAAAAAAAATACCTGCTGCTTCAGCTGAGCTTCCTGCTGCTTCATCTGTTCACATTTGTGTCTGGACTCAGTAGCTTCTTTTAGCAACTAAAAAGAAACCGAAAACAAAAAAAAACCCAAACAACAATGCACAAAGCCTTATAATGAAGAAAGTACTCCTATGAATGGCTTCATTTATGATGAAAAAGAAACAAACATTAACATCGCCTAATGGCCATTCAACCATGTTTTCTCACTTGGGCTTTTTTATTACTATACTTTCACATATACAATTTAAAATGTGCTGGCACGCAGAAATTTTTGAGACATTTTTCTAATTGGTACCATGAGTCAACATTTCTATTTCTGCAGCAAGTTTGAACTGCTAAATTTGGGTAGTTCATTAACAAACTGCATGCAATTTATAACTGTTTTGTAACCTAATCTACTTTCTACCTCCATTTCTCCAGTCACTAATATTAACTTTGCAGTAGCCTTTACAGTCTAGTTAAAACCAATTTTGCTTCAACTTGACACCATTTTGTAGGTTCAACTTTGATTTTCATCAGCATATGATTCCAAAATTATGTTTTAAAAATACAGAACAACCCCACACTGGATGATCATTTTAAGATAATACAGGAAAAGCAAGGCTTTGGCTAGAAGTTACAGATATATAAGGAACACTGGGGAAAAAAAAAAACCAAACCAAAAAAAAACCAACAAAACAACCCCAAAACAAGCCACCACTTTACCTAAGTATTATTTTTTTAATTTGAAGCAAACTTCTTGGAAGACTGCAAGTAAATCGCTGATTATGGACATATAAATAAAACATCAGCCATAGTTTTGGAAACAGACAAAAAAGCATATGCTTTATTCTGCACTTGTTATTTCTTATAGCATAAAACCAGAAGTTACAACTCCTGACCACAAAAGTACCTTTGGTGTTTCAGCTCAAGACATTTCCCAGTCAAAGAAAAATCCAAACAATATCCAGCCCATTTGCTGAGAAAACGCAAATAATAACATTACTTGCCTGTATATATGGACATTAATATTGAAGGCATTACACATACACAAAACTTAAATCTCAGTCTTACTGCTGAAATCTTTCCTAACTTTCAATAGACAGTCCCCTCAACTTGCTGAATCTGTTTCAAACCATGAAAAATATGGTTTGGTGGGTTTTGTTATTCATCTTTACAAAGAATTCACTTACAAACTCCCTTTCTCGCTGATGTTTTTCCTCTGCTTCTTTAATAAGTTGGGTAGTTTGCTGAAGTTTGGCATCCACAAGTTGCTGCTGCAGTTCTTTATGTTTGAACACTTTATCAATATGCTAAAGAAAGGAAATCATATCAGTCAAATATAAAAATTGCACGAGTCAATTAAGGTAAATATACATGTATGGGGAAATGCATATTGTTTAGAACTTTCATTCAAAAGAAACAGAGGCAAAGACTGTTTTACATGCCTTTTCTCCTCTATGTCCATGCATTGTCACTACGCTTTGTCTTTCACAGAAGCCAGGTGCATATTGTATTAAACTGGTACAATGCTGTAAGTCACTTCACACCAAACATACTAAAGTCCTGTAACAAGTAGCCTATATCCTTTCTTCTAAAGGTAGTGTATTATCTCTAATCCTTACTGTAATTGTTACTTCTAGAAGCTCTGGTCCTCATCGTTAAAAAAAAGCTCAAAACGAGCAAAATTTGCAACAACAGTTTATTTAGCTGATGAAATTCCACATATCACTGAATTTTGCAGTCTTACATACATTTGTAAGTAGCATGAGGCATCTTTCTACCTTTTCTCTTCCCCACATTATCTCATGAAGGTGGGAACTAGTCTACAGAAAGCTCTCTAACTCTTCCAGGTTTAAAACCAACCAACCTCTCCACCCCTAAGAAAAAGAACCACAACTGAATAAAACTACATTCCAAATCTCCTCTGTCAATTAAAAACTAGCAAGCTAATCTTAGCTGTAGAACTCCCTGAAGGTCAATTCTCTCTTTGACAAGAACTGCCTGTTTTCCACTACTGTAGCTTAGACTGGCTAGCTTACATGCCAGTGCCAATTGAAGCTAGCTAGGTTAGTCCTATAATACAGTCATTTCCATGCCACTGGTCCAAATATATTCTTAAAGCATGATAGCATACTTTGATTCTGTGCCAACAAGAACAGCTACATACACAAAGGAGCTTCCCAAAAACCCCCAACTATAATGAATCAAAGTAAGACAGACAATAACTCTTATGCTGGTAAATTTATAATTTAGAAGAACTTCAAACACATGTTGGAAATAACCTTTGGAAGCTTAAGTTCACTCAAACCCCAGTCAGCTTCAATGTTTGATCAGGCTGCCCACATCTGGCTCAGATGAGTTCTAAATAAAGACAGATTTCCCAGTCTCTAGACTACTTATTTCTGTTTGACCACTTTCAGCATGATATTTTTTCCCAATATATCTTGAATTTAGATATGCAAAACCAGACAGAAAAGGCAGACAGTGGGCTCAACAGCTACTTAATATTCACAGTAGTGAAGTAACTTATATACATGATGGCTGTAAAATATTACAGGCTTTTGTCCCCTGTAAGGAATTATCTGATCTTTACAGTTAAGGAACTAACAGTATCCCATTAGAAGCATAATGTAAGCACCTCTTCTCGCAGTGCATACTGCTCAATGAGTTTCTTCAGTTTTTCCCCCAGTTCAATATTTTCCTGGCGGAGCTTGGCATTATGTATACCATGCTGTTCCAGTTGAGCCTGAATTTCATTCAGTGTAATCTGGAAGTGTGCAGTTGCTTCTTTCCGCCTTTCTTCTTCCTCACGTGCTTGCTGCATGTTTTCTTCCTTTTGTGAGAGAATATTAATGTGTTCAAGCTAAACCATGGACCTTTTTCATATTTTTGAGTCAGAAACAATAGTAGTATTACACTTCTGTACAGTTTCATGTTCTAGAGTTCTAGAGTTAATATAAGCCATAGTATGTTGTGCTGGCTACCCATATGAAGTGCGTACATACAGAAACTCCAGAACTTCTAAAGAATCTTCTCTTTACCACTCTGAACATTACAGAGAAGCTGGTATTACAAGATGTTACATGAATACCTTTGCAAGTGTTAAGAACTACCCAGATGTTAAAACCAGCACTGATTTCCTACAGTGATCACAGATAAGAATATCTTGGCTCTCTTCCATTATACTCCTGTCCATTATATTCTGACAGAATTAAGCCTTTTTTGATACTATGCCATTTCATACTGCCATTATATTTCAGTTGTGCTATTTTTTTCCCCATAAGACATTAGCACTGCTCCCAGAACCAAATATGCCAGAATTACATACTGCAAGCAATACAAGGGGAAAAAAAAACAAACCCAAGTTGAATTATACCTACTTTTTTACCTTAAAATCAGGGACACTTACGTCACATGATACTCTTCTTCTCCAGGTACAGATAACAAGCAAAGTGGTAAGTAAAAAGCAGCAGCCTTGAGTTTAAGCAGGAGCCAATAAAGTCAGATTTCCACCACCACTGCCACTGTAATTTATATAAACTAACCTTCAAAGTCTTGTTATGACGCTGAAGCTCCCGGCAGAGAGATTCCAGTTTGCTACGTGCCAAAATGGCCTTGCTATGCTCACTCTGCAAGTGGACTTTCTCCTTCACAACTTGTGCTTGCTTCTTCTGCAGTATCTTCATCTGCTTTTGAACATTTCGACTCTCCTCCAACTAACATTAGAGAGTATATTTATGAAATAAACATAGGTGAAACTATATTCTTCTAGATGAGCAGACTGAACAAACTTTTACACATTTCAGATGAAAGAAAGTAAAATAATTTCATTAAGACCCCCAAGTTGACACTTAAAAAGAAACTTCCATCATCCTACAGACAATTCTAAACGTGTAAGGACAGAAGATGGAAATACACAAATTCCAACTTAACCTTTGAGGATAAGGGACCACGGGCCTGTTGATGGGCCATTAACCTGTATTCAGCCACAGGGTTAGAACTAGCTCTGAGAAAGAAGGATATGGCAGATATAATTAAAAACCAACTGAAACTGGCTTTACAACAGGTCACGTTTTCCACTCTTATCTGCAAGGTACACACAGCTGTTTATCCAACAGGTTTCTCTCTCTAGTATCAGAAACAAAAATCCATGGAAATGTGTGCACAGTTCTTTCTTGTCAGCAGGAGCTCCTACCAAAGGAAGCAGTAATTGATACAAGTTTGCAAAATGCTAAGGTATTTCAGAATGGAACAGATACAACTAGCAGCCCTGACAAAGCAAGTACTATTAAAGCTGCACAGCTCAGACTCTGATGACTTAAAGAGTTCTGTAGTCTCAACCATCTGAAGCAAATTTTTTGTTGTACCTCTTTAGGCTCTTTAGACTGTAAATGACAGTGTTAAACTATGTATATGGTGCTGACTTCAAAATATATGCTATGAATATCCAGTGAATAGAAGTTTCTTGCATTAATATGTAGTTGAAAGTAAGTTCCATTACACAGGATTTTTGGGCTCCATAAAGAAACCATATTATTTAGTCTGTTCTGTTGTAAAGAAGGCAACAATGTTAAGTTTAACACTGCTCCTTATTAGTGCCTCAGCCTTAGGACACCACAGCAAAAGAAGGCTGACAACAAGGAACATCACCATGACAGAATAATGATACAGTGCTAGTTTTTTGAAAGAGCTCAAAGTAATGCTGAAGCACAGAAGAAAGGATAAATACAATTAAGCACCTCCATGACAACAGTAAATTAAATGTATATTTAATCTAGTTTGGAGAAAAGGATTGTTAAGGGAATATTTTGATATTCAAAACATAAAAAGCCCTTTTCTTGGGTGGCCAGAAAAAATACTTCGAGTGGCTGTGCTGTTTGCATACCTATGAAATTTCAGGCCTGTAAAAGTATGCCAGCATGAGACCTATCACCATGGATGCAAACCTTCCTGCATCACAAACTGATCTCCTGATAGTTTCCAAATTAGGAAAAAAAAAAAATTGTGGAAGATCTTTTGCCAGGAGAGAGGCATTCCTACCTTTATGGTACAGTCCTTTTCATGAGACACCACTGAAAAACCTGACAGTGAGCTTTAAAGATGATGAATCTTTAAAAAAAGAAAAAAAGCATTGTAGGTGCACTGTCATAAACAGTTCAAACCTCTGCTGGCATTAAAGCTGACACCTGTGCCAGTGGTTCATCACCACTATCATGAAGAAAAGAACGCATCTTAAGAGGAACACAACCTAAACTTTCTGAGGGAAACAAGAGTACCTCTAAGACTCATTCAGCTAAAACAGCTATTGCTACACCTGGACAACCTCCCACCCAAAGTCCCAAGAGTTCTGAGCACCCTGGGGAAAGCAACTGGTTTTCCAGGAAGGTGACTAACTATGGACTGTGAATGCTTATGCTGCCTATGGACTACAGATCCTCTCACAGGAGGGGAAAAAACAATATGAGCATGTTTCTCTCCTGATTGTCTTCAACAAGAAGGCTCAAAATTAACATGGTTCAGCTAATTTTTTTTTCTGCAGAAGCAAGGAATTCATGCGAACCTAGCCCCTCGTGCAGGCCATCATGATCACTGTGATTTGACGTGGGAGTTGCTCGCTCAAATAGAAAAGGCATCACATGCACAAGCAACTGCTCGTAAGAACTGATTTACCACATTTTCCTCTCACAATATCAAAGCTCATTTTTAGGTGGGCTCCTCATCCTTGAGTTGCACTGTGAAAGCATTATTGTATTTCTTTAAATTAAAGTGACTTCTTATAGAAGCTGCTGGTTTTGAAGGAAATCAACTCATGTGAACAAGAACGTGCAGGTGAGAGAGCAGAGAAAAAGCTAAAATGTAACAGATCTCCAAGGAGGATTTAGGATTTCCTAAACAGAACTAATCTAAGTCTTCTTATTAAGTAATTAGCATTGCCTTTGTGAATAAAAAGACTACCTGCTAGCTCACCCTCAAAGCTCTGGAGACATCCTTAATCTCAAAGGACAAAAAAAAAAAAATTCAGGAGAGCGATGCTCCATGTGGTGCAGCCATTATGTTGTTTTCAAAACCACCTTTGTATATAACACACCTGACATCTACAGAAGGAAAAAAAATTAATACTTTTGTCAAACTCCTCAGTTATCTCGTTTTACACTCCTTTTGTAACTGCCAATACGGTAGGAAAGCATGCACACGGTATTTCCAGTCTTTCCGTTCTTGTCTGTTCCTGTCTCAAAATGAACAAGTCAAGCATTTTTGTCTCCAGGGACATTCTGAAAAGTGAGCTCATGAGTCATGTGTGTGTGTGTGTCCCCTGTTTTATGATCACCTAATTTAGAAAATAAATTATCATTTCTCCTACTAGGGGTAGGAATGCACTTTATGATCAATCACTGCTAACATTTTGACTTTTTGATTTGTTAATGAAGAAATGTTACTTTTCTATCCAATCTTTTGCATAATCAGAAAGCACAAAGCAAAATTAAACCTACACCTAATTTCCCCTGCCCCCCCAAATCACTTAAAAGTTAAGCATAACTTAAACTTTTTCCAGATCTCATTATCCCAATATGTTCTTTCCCTTTATCCTAAAGGGTATAAATTATAAAATGCTAGCACAAAAGCACTATTGACAGACAAAAACTAAGAAAATAATTACTCCCCAGAGAAACTCTAAACGTCTGTTAATCCTAATGCTATGCTTCAATGCCAAGTTATCAAAACTTACTTTCTTTGGATTTAGGCAGTCATGTAGAAGCAGAATGACTGCATGCAAGTTTGGCTGAAGTAATACCCATAATAAGCCTGAGTTTGCTTTTTCTTCCGCTACCAACACTGTGAAATATTCAAAATTGTTACTGTCCTGTATTAGAAGTTCTTGCATTCCACAGTTAATATTAACACATGAATAACTCTTGCTATCTTTACAAATTACTTACCAGATCAGCATACTTCTTGCACAAAGCTGCCAGCTTTTCCTCTGGTGTAGAAAGCGTGTTCAAGGCTTGCATTAATAACAATACTTCTTTTCCTATGAATTGGATGAAAACCACCAAATTGAGAAAAGAAAAAAAAAAAGTACCAGAAAAGAGCCTATCTGTAGAAAAGTAAAATACAGAGAATTCCATGAGAATTTTGCACGAATTAAGTTGTTCTCTGGTTTGATAGCTGCATAATCCTAACAGATGACAAATGTGAAGCCATCACAGTAAGAATTTGTCTTGCCTATGTGACATTACATAACTTGGATAAAGTTATAAAAAGTTACTTTAACCTTAAAACCACAAAAATATTTTTATATATATATTTAATTGCACAGATAAAAAGAAAAATCTAGAAGAGCAAAATTTAAAAAGTTTTCGCTAATAAAGGATATTCACACAAGTGTTTTTAATAAGGTTCTGGAATTTAAGTATCAGCAGTGCTTTGGTAGCATGGAACACCACAATCCCAAATTTAAAAGTTAATCCAACAACCAGAAAGTTAAAAACGCTTATTAGTAATTACCACATTATTATTATTGTTGTTATTAAAGTTCCTTTTAAAAATGGCATTACCAGCTGAAGGATTCTTACATATGCATTAAGAATTGTCTTTTCCTAAGCGGAAGTACACCTTTTCTCAGAATATCTTGTTAAAGATGACAAGTTTTGGCTACAGAGTAAACCTGAGACAAAGACAGAGCAAATGCATAGCTATTTTATGAAAATATTAAAGCCATTTAAAAATCGTAATGCTGAAGAGAACATACCCAAAGTTTTCTCTTTGTGTTTTTCACTCTCTGGATCTTGCTGGCCATCAGGTGGATCAGTACGGGCTTCTTCTCTCCCAGGAGTTTCCTCACGAGACTCTTGAGAGCAGCATGTGGACCCCAGGTGCTTTCTGTTCTTTGTGATACACTCAGCTTCATCCAATGAACCTGTGTTTTCCAGGCCACAACAGTTGGACTGTGCATGCTGCAGTGGTGTGTCAGACAGTTCATCGCACTTACTCTTCACCAGCTGATCCTGGTTATTCATTCCCATCTCCTGAGAAACAACTTCTTCCATTGCACCACCAACCAACTTCAGAAGGGAAAGGAAGAAGTAAACAATCAATCAACTATACTTAAAATGAAAACTTTCACCTTTCTTTTGCATGGACAAGTAAAAGTAAAATCCCTTCCTTATTCAAGTTGATATTCACTGTTGTTAACGCAGGTATATAAGTAACTGTAGACAGAATGACCCTAAAGAGTGATGAAGAAAACAGCATACAACAGTCCAAAATACTAAGTACTCTTTTACAAAACAAATTTGAAACCATGTAATTGCAAAAATGTTTATACTCTAGAAATAAAAAGTTCCCACGGAAATTTGTTCTTAAAGCTCCAAAATTAACTGGCTATCATCTCAGCACACAATCTTAAATACAAACACTTCTCCCATGGTTGTTCTTAAAATCTCACAAATCAACACTATCAAACCTAAAACTCAGCAAGAGTTTAACTAGCTTTATGTATTGTTATCTGAAAAACAAGGTGCATAAATTGAGACAGGAGGACATTATTAAAACCAACTTTATTACATATTGGTTCCAGAAAAGTGAAAGATACCAGTTCTAAAATAACCCGAGATATACTGTAAGAAAGAGAGAGGCAGGGAGGGAATTAACCTACTAGGAAGTCTAAAGAAATACACAGAAATACACTGATAACACACCTAGGGTAAGAGTTCAAACTACCTCAATCAGAATGCCAAATAGGACTGTCAGCTCATGACTGGAGAATATCTATTGTTTTAATAAGGATTATAAACACAACTGGAAACACATCCATTTTTTAAATATTAAAATTTATATCTATGAAGTAATAAAAAAAAGTAAGTATTAACTGACTTCAGATTTGGAGTCCTACTGCCTATGATTTTTAACAATATATTATTTCTGCTCAATTAAACAACTTGCTCTCCAAAGATTTCCTAAACACCCAAAGGTTTAATCATTTAACCAAAAAGTTAAACATCACCAGTTGTTTTAGAACGGCAGTGATATGTCCAGTATTTTGGAGCAGAACACCCGATAATATCGCTCTATATACTACTGAGCAGCTACCGGACTCCCCCCTCAACCACTAGGACAACATTCTCAATTTCTAGATACATTTAAGGCTGATGAGAGAAATTCAAGGGTGTGTGGTTGGGTGTTTTTTTGTCTTGTTACAGTATAGAGGCTGAGACTCCAGACAGTATTTTGGGGTGGTATTTTTTGCTGTGCATTTGCAATCCTACTATACAACGTGCATCCATGGGTGAAAGTATAATAAGCAGAGCTGAACTCACTTCACTGCCAAAGTGATCATTCTAATTGATTTGTTTTCAGTGAATGGAAAATAAGTTTTCTTAAAGTCACAAGAAATTTGTTTTTCCCATTTATATGCAGAATTTCATTGTTTAAGCACAAATTTATTTCATATTATCTTATATTTTTAATATTTAAAATGTCCTAAATCTTAAACCTGGAGTTTGTACTGGGTTTTGTATTCTGCACAGATGTACTCCTTTTCAAAAGAAATTTGCCAACATCAAAAGGACACAGCCAACACTAATAATACATTGCGAGATATATTTCAACTCCAAATTTGTTCAGCATGCTTTGAAGAGTTATTTAAAAATCATTAAACAAATGTGTTAATATTGTAAAAAAGTTGATGACAGCTTAGCTGTTCTCTTCACGTAAATAAAAGTCCCTTGTTTTAGACCTTATCTCAAGGCAGAGAATGATGGAATTCATATAGTATCTTTCATGAATGACAGTAAGGTTTTTAACTGCAAATAATCTGCATACACATTTAGGAGCAACTTTTTGACTTATAAAGGAAGATTCACTTTCACAGCTTTTTACAAGTGTGGAAGTGATGCATGTGGTATATGGGAAAAAAAATCCAACCAAAAGCCAAAAAAAGCATTGCCAATTTTATTCTCCAGTAACGCAAGACAAAATACTTGATAAATGCCAGCAAAGGTAATGCAGTAATAATACAACTACTGTAAAAAATAACCAATCCCAAGATTTAACAGTTGACTTTTTAGAGCTGCAAGATGCATATTTTTCCTGTGTAGTCTTAAACAGTGGGGCATCCATTGGCATGGGAAAGGCTTACCCCTCCCAAGTTTAGGGTCAGCTAAACAAACAAGATTCTTCTTAAAAAAGGACAAGAAATGTGAAAACAACAGAGCTTGCTTATTTTCATAGATATCAATGTCTGAAGACATGGCACAGATCTCCAAAAATCATGATTCATACAGAAGCCAAAGAAACGATGTTACATTAGACTGACAAGACAGGAAAGATCAGAGGTATCAGATCACAACGTGATACCAGAGCAGAATTGCAGTACCAACACAACAGCTGAAACTTGCGTTTTTTCTATTACATAGGACATGAACTTCTGGTTCAGATACTTGTGCCTAAGAAGCCTGGCAAAAGGTAGGGAAAGTCTGCTCTAAACTCAAAAATTTCTGGTTTGGCACAGTATTTCCAGACCTTCTGAAATCCATAAATAGACCCCCATAAACTTTTGAAAGAAGAGCACAAAATTGCCAGGAACTTCAAAAGGCAGCTGAGAAGGCTGACTGGCTCCATTTGTGGTTGCACACTGAACAGCAGCAGCTCTCTTGCTATCACTTCATTCCCCTTTTTCATACCCACCTCTGTTGTGCTAGCCACAACATTCACGCAGCTTGTTCTAACAGTTCATAGCCAGATTGGTACCTCAGACCTGCTCACGGCACAGTAATAGGCAATCCTGCCAACTAGGAGTCCTAGCACGATGGTTGGAAAGAAGCCAAAGAACAAGAGTCACTATAAAAAGTAAACCTAATCACAGCCAGAGCACAAGGAACTAAACAAAAAGCAACCAGTTAAATAGTTAACACTGACTACTGGGGTACCAGAACACCGTCAGCAAGATGACGCTCATGAGAAGCACTGCTTCAAATTTAACAACCCAGAATTTTTCACTGGTTCTCATCTGAGAAAATTCTGCCATTTCTGGGGGAAAAAAAAGCCCACAAAAAACCCAACAAACCCGAAACACAAAATCCCCACCCCAACAACAAACAAAAAAGGCCTGAACAACTGATGGTGGGGCATACATGTGAACAGTTAAGACACAAAATGCCCACTTCTGGCAAACCATCATAGTAACCTCAACTCTTGTCAATTCAGAGCTGGCAATCAGCATGCATATTCCACAGCACCTGGAAGTTTCACAGAGTGAACACTACCACCTCATTAATTCAGCAGGGCTTTTGTAACAGTGAAATTAGGTGTCAATCCAGTTCTGTGATGACAATAACAACCTCTTAACTCTGAGTATTCTCCATCCTTTGTCAAAAAACCCAGGAGGATTTTCAGAACTTCATGCTCATTCTCTGAAGTCTAACAGAGCAGGCAGAAATAACCTACCAGAATACTGAATTGAAGAAAAAGATTTATGCACAAGCATCTTGTACATCTCAAATATCTTTGAAAATAATAGCCATAGTGAAAAAAACTATTAAACTTGACAATCTTCTTTTGGTTTTCCAGTGAAAATGGAAGAAATCCAAGCTAGTGACAAGCAAACATGCTCACTGCAAAACCAAAGCTCACTGTGGCAGTAGAGAGATTTTGTAACAATATCAAATATACTCAGCTTAAATGCAATTAAAAAAAATTAGTGACCAGAACAGGCTAGAACACTGTATTTAAAGAAGCGGTTCTACCAGCAGCTACAGCAACCCTGATAACATACCAAAAACAGCTTAAAAAAACCTAGTTAAACTCGATATATTAAGTTGTGGTTTGTTAAGTTCTAACAAAACTAACAGTAGTGGCACAACATAAATACATTAGAATTTTACTAACTTAGATTAGAAAGTAGTTTTAAACAGAGAAGTCTGCTATTGCCTGACCAGGGCCACAAACACTAATAGCTAGATGACTTCCCAATTCAGACTAACCAAGATTTTTCCCCATTAGCTGTCACTTTAGATACTAACACATAACCAGAAGTCTGAACAGCCTTCCAACAACTCAATATTATTCTTAACACTTTACTATAGGTATTTCAGATTTGATCTGTATAAAGCTTCAAGCTGGAGCACAGCAATAATAAATGTCACACAGAGAATGTTAAGTACTAAACCATTCTCTACCACTGAAACTGCCACCCCCCTCACCTCCCCTTACTAAGACAATGGTTAGAACAACCCCAACTATTACCTTTATATTTTCAAATGAGTGCTCATCAGACTAGTGAACTTCTCAGTTCAACATTCCAGCCAGAACACAGCACTTCCAACAGCACATTGTATAACAGTGCTGATTCAGTACTGACTGAATAGAAACAAAACCACCCCGCCAAAGACCTTCTACTGAAATCTCCGCTACCTTTTCTAGTTGCTACCACGCTTCCTCAGCTTCCAGCTGGCTTCCAATCTCCTGCTTCTAACCAACATTAATGATAGAAGGCCTATAATCTGACGGGTCAGAATTAAGACGGTTACGTACCTAGAAAAATGGCCAGTGAGAGACAAAGTATGTTGCACAGGTAATGTGTGGCTTTTTTAGATCACAAAATTGTTTACAAAAACGCAAAACTCTACCATTACAAAACAAGATACTTGCCATCTACCTAGCTGTTAAACCAGCTATTAAAAGGTGCTGACACTTCTGAATTAGTGTATCATCTTCAAGCTATTTAAGACAGAATTATAAGGCAAACAACTTCAGGATGCCCTGCAGGAAACACTGCCCCTGCTCATCCCCAAGTTTTCATTCAGTCTTTTGCTATGTTCTCTCAAGTTGTACCTAGATCAAAAAAGTTACGCATCAAGAAAACTCTCAGTACCTACCAGATGAGAGTACAAGAGAGGTATCCTATTTATTAACCGGCTATGATCACAAGAGTCTAAGCCAACTTCAAACAGTTCTGCTCCAGTAACGTTCACTGCACGTAAGGACAAAACAGACACTTTGGCAGAACTTTCCTTACCATGCCAAAAAGTATTAATAAGACTTACTTCTTTGTTCTCTTACCTACAAGAGCCCATAAACACAGCCACAGTGCTACCTGACATATACTGTACTTATTGCTACTATATGTACTCAAGTACCTATATTTTATATTCCTGTGCATACACATACTCAGTCTTTTCCTGAAAACTCTGTATCTCTTATTGAAAATAAAACCATAAGCAGTAGCTAAACCCACATCTTTTTTCTCCTATATGCTAGGAAGTTACTCTAACAACAACAACAACAAAAAATACTGGTATTAATCTGTCAAAACATCTCTTACAGTGCTCATAGTAGCAGATGGCCTGAACTGTGGGAAGACTTTTACAACCTTAGCCTTCAGAACTGCTAATACTTTCAAATAATATCCTGGAAGCCTCAGAACAAATGTATGTACACAAAACAGATCTTCACAACTGTAAGACAATCTAAATATATAAGCAAATATGTAATCATTGCTCAGCATCAGGCTCAAGAAAAAGTACATTTAAATAACATCACTCAGCTGACTACATCCTCAAACCTACCACACATGTAACTGGGCATAAAAGCCTGATAACCCTTAACCTGATCAACTGCATTCAAACAAACAGAACCAAAAAACACCTGTAACAGCAAGAAGTATGTAATTTCTCATAAATGTTTACGGTTTATAGCAAATTTTATGCTTCCTGCATCCCAGTAATTTACTGTTACCTGCTAACACAGGAAAACTTATTTTGAAAACATTTGTGTGATATACTTTTCCTCAATACAGATATTCAAGAAGAGCTCATTTAACATAACTATTGTGCTAAAAGAACAGTCATTCTTGGTAGCAATGTTAGTCATGTCTTGTCCATAAAAAGTAGCATTTTGGGATGTCACAGAATTTGGGTTTGAATTTTGCAGCAGGTGCACCTTCATCCACTCGTCTAGACGCAATAATTCAGGTGCTTGTGACCATAAGACTACCTTATTAAGGTTATTTCTCCATGCAATAAATACTTCCCTATACTGTGTTCACTGCCCTGGATGATCATGCAGCCTAATTATACCTTTCTGAAAAAGTGGTGGCCAAGGTGCCTTCCCCACCAAACTACAATCTTGTGAGATCAGAAAGTCACTTCAAACAAACATTTCACCTTGTTCTGTCATTAAACTAAAAATTATGTTCTATGTGCTCATTTACCTACTTTCAAAACACTGGACTGAGGCACCTGCAGTACTGCTCATCATTAGTTTCAAAGCACTGCAAACTTGGAAGTAAGTCCCAGCACAGCAGGAGGACGACTAAGAAATACCTACTGTGGAAATCTGTATTTTATCTTTATAAAAGTCAATACAAGGTCAATGTTAACAGACTGCTATTAACACTGCTGGCCTTACATTTAAGAGTAAGTCTCTAATATTGTTTCAAACACATTCTTATATGACCTTTGCTTCTGGTTCTTATTTTTCTGTTACCCCTTCCATGCTTCTTGTTTTGACTTTCATCAACCTCATGATGCAGAAGAGATTCCAGCTTTTAAAAATAGCTTTATTTACCTCAAGCAACCTCAAATGAAAGAAAAAAACCACACCACGTTTTCTTTTATATCATTCTTTTTCCTCTGTGCTTGGAAAAAAAAAAGTAATTAAAACCATCTCTTCCCTGCTTTCCCTTAAGACATTAAACATAATTCCTGTAATTCTAGGGGGAAAAAAACCCAAAAAACATTGGAAGAACCCAAAGCTTAAATGGAAGCTTTCAGGACACTTACAGGGTAAAGTGCTGTACATTTCACCAGTCCTTTTTTAATGTAAGGGGCTGAGACAGGTGCTAATTAAGAAAATATTTAATATAGCATGAATCACTTCCACCAATGAGGCTTCACTTCCTCTTCACTATAAACCTAATAGTTTTCTAGTCATCCACATTACATTTCTGGAAAAAGCAGGACAGACGAGTTCCGAATTCACAATGCAAACAGGTCATAAAGAACTTAAAAGTAAAGAAGCTCCCCTGTACCAAGGCAGGGGGAAGGAGGCTGCAGGGGACTGCTTAAGGATTTTTAATTCACAAAAAAAAAATTTGAAGTAAAATTTGCTTAATCTTCCCTGTCACGTTTCACCTTTTTAAAATGCTCAATTCCATTCGACTGCGGGTATGTGAACTAGCACAGAGATGCTGGTTTGTTTGTGTGGTTTGGATTTTATTTGTATTTTGGTTTTAATCATCAGCATTTGCTTTCGTCGCAGATGCTAAAGTTACTTACAAGCCACTTCCCGGTAAGGAGCTTCAAAAAAACACACAGCACAAGAGATGGTTCTTCTTTGAAGAAAAAATACCTCCAGAGCCTCCTAAATCTCTCCAAGAGCCAAAATAAACAACCATCACTACTACCAAGTTGCTATTTATGGGACGTTTTTATCCTTTGTAGCACAGAAGAAAGGTCCCATAAAAAAAAGCCACTTGGATTTATGTATGGACACAGAGTGAGATACCGAAGTGGCACATGAGATTACCGTGGCAGTTCTGTCAGGCAGCGTGTTGGTGATGTCACGGCTCAACTACAGAACATTTTAAGTCTTTGCTGTTCGCTGCACACATATTTTAGGATTTTCCTATATGGACGTGCAATATTACTGTAAAGTCACCGAGAACACCGTGGCTTTTGGTGGCGTGTCGGTAGAGGAAAGAAAATGAGAGAAAGAACCATTTTTTACCTATTTCGAAAGAAAGCACTCCCCCCCTACACACACACACCGCGCGGCAGGCAGGCAGAGCCTCCGCTCTGGCACGCGTCTCTCGCACCTCAACCACACGGCCCGCACCGGTGAGCGCCAACTGCCGGCACAGCGCCTGGCATCTCTAGCCAACGGGACCACCGTGGGGGGACAACGGCATACGGGCAAATGCCTCCCAGACCCCGAACCGACCCGTCCTGTCTCCCCAACAAACCGGGCCCCGCCACGTGCCTCCCCCCCCCCCGCCGCCAAAGGCCCGCCGCGCGCCCGAGGCAGGGACCGCCCCTCGACCCCCGGGAGAGGGACATGGAGAGCGGCTGGTGCCACCCCCGGCCAGGGAAGTGCGAGTGTGGCTCCTCAGGAGAATGCCGACCCTCAGACACACACGCGCGGCTGCAGGGACGCGGGTCCAGTCCCGTGGGGAACCGGAGAGGAGCTTGGCCCGCCCCGGGCCAGGTCCCCGAAAACCATGGAAGCGGCGAGGGCACGGCCTGCCCCAGCCCCAAGCGCTTGCAGGGCGCCGAGGCCGCGTGGGGACGGGGGAGGAGGGGAGCGAGGCACCACAAGCCGCCGGGTGGGGAGCGGGAGCGCCCTCCCACCATGCCCGGCTGCGCGCTGCCTCACCTCCGGGCCGCCGCTCGCTGTTGCTGTTACCGTCACCACCGCCACTGCCTCCTCCTCTCCGCTGTGGCTCTGGCGCCGGCTGCGTCCCTGCGCGCTGCTGCCACTGCCACCGCTGCTGCCTCCTCCGCGCGCTGCCTCCGCTCCGCGCGTCGCCATGATGTGACGGCAGCATCCAAACAAGCTGCCGAGAGCCGAGGCACACCGGAAGCTCTCCTTGCCTGCCCGCCCCTTCTCCCTGCGGCAGCCAATCGCCGCGCGGTCCCTCGTCTCACGTGAGAGGTCACCGCCCTCCCTGCCCGCTGCTCCCCCGGAGTCGGAGGGAGCACGCTGGGGTCCCGCGGAAGCAGCGGACTGCGCTTTCCGGCGTGCACCGCGCGGCTCCCCTTTCCTAAGGCATGCCGGGAGTTGTAGTCTGGTCTGCCGTGGGGGGTGCCGGGAGGTGGAGTCCCGCCGGCGCTGGCCGGGGGGCGGGGCGGCGGGCGCGCGGTGGTGTCAGCGGCTGGTGATCAGGGGGCGTTTAGTCCGCTCCGCCCGCGTTCCTTGTGGCCATTGGTGCCTTTGCCGTGGCTTGGGAGACGCGGACAGCTCAGCAGCGCCGCCGTGACGGGGAGTCGGGCGTGGGGTGGGTCCGCGGGCCGCCTGTGGGTAAGGCGGAGGCCGTGGGGATGCTGCTCCTGAGGGAAAACGGGGCTGGGAAGAGAGGTTTAGCCGGGAATTGCTTTGTGCAGGTGTGGCCGAGGCCGGGACTGTGGACAGAGCGTTTGTGAGGCCATACCTGGAATACTGTGTTGTTTTCTTCCCCGCCATACAAAAATGATGTGGAAACTGGAGACCCCAGAGAAGGGTCACAAAGACGATGAAAGGGCTGGGAAGCCTGGCTTATGAGGAAAGGCTGAGAGAGCTGGGTTTGTTTAGCCTTGAGAAAAGAAGGTTTGGGGAAAACCATATCACCATATTCCAAGTATTTAAAGAAGATGGAGACTTCCTTTTTACAAGGAGCCATATAGAGAAGACAAGGAGTAATGGGCACAAGTTTGTCGTGGAGAGATGCCATTTGGAAACAAATGGAAAATTTTTCACAATGAGATCTATCAGACATTGGATTCCCCAGCACTGGACACTTGTAAGATCTGGATAAACAGGATGCTGGGATATCTACTCTAGGTCATGCTTTGCTAGAAAGGCTGGACCAGGTGACATCATGACATCCCTTCCAACCACGGATTTGATGATTCTATGACTCCTTAGGCCAGCACAGACACCTGGAGTGAGCCAGAAGCCCTTCTGGTGAACATAGCCATGTGCTGCTGCAGCCCAAACCTCAGCCAGGCCTTCCCCTGTCCACAAGGCTTCAGCAAGTGGGATGGCTGCTGTGGGGTTAAGGATTGCTTCTGTGGAAGGAAGGTTGACATCACATGCTGGAGGGAAGAATGAAGTTGCTGGGGCACGCATGCAACCCTTTGAACTCACTACTGGTTTCCTGGGTGTGTGTGGATCTTGCTGGACTGTGCACTAGTACGTGCAAGCACACATCCTGGTAATACAGATGTTCCCACTTGCCAAGGAAATAAACTTAACCTCTGTAATACAAGGGGAACCTTGATGTTCTTTTATAGAGTTACTGAATAAAAGTACCACTCTAAACCTCCTTAAGCACTTACTGCTTCAGAGAATAGGTGGAGTGAATATTTGCGTTGAGTAAAGTAGCTTCTGTGAGGCAGTACCCCCTTGAATTGTTTTGGCCTTACAGTCTAAATCTGCTTCCCAGACCTATTCAATTGATAGTTTCAAGATGAAAAATAATTTTATATTTTTGGGTATTATCCCAATCTTTAGATGGAGGTTTTCTCCCCTAGAATGACACTTGTTCTTTTACAAACATGCATAATATTGATGCAATTCTTGGAAAAAGAAAAAAGCGTCCCTCTTTTGCCCCAGCAGAATTTTGATGTTCTAGGATTTTGCCCACACATCCCTTCTGTTTGAGAGTATCGAGGTCCATGCAAATATGCTCCGGTTGATCCCAGGATGGCACATGAAATCCATAAATGGGGCCTTAAGATTGCTTTTAATATCTTGAAAGCACTATTGGAACGTTTGTATGTGTAGTAAAACATAAATTAATTTGCATTCTGTTCCCCTCCCCCAATAGGCACTTTCTGGAATAGAAGGAAGATTAATTACAAGTGTGAGCTACTTCGAGAGAAAACAGAATAAAGACCCACGGAGTTCTTGCTGGCTGTAAGCCTTTACTGTAATAAACTTCATTGTAAGGCTTATTTTGGTGAATTTAGGTGCCAGAGAAGTTAATACACATCATGCAATAGAAGCAGGCACAAGGCCATTCTGTCAAGTAGGACAAAGATTTCATCAAAAACTACCAGATGTTAGAGAATGTATTTCCAATAGTAATTATTTTTACACTTGAACTGGCAGGGGTTTTTCTGCTGATTCTGTGACACAGTTTGATTATAATTATTTTCTGAAGAAAGACACTGCTTCCTACTAAGTCAGTTTTTACAGAAGTTTAAGGGGGTTTGAGGGTAGCTGATATGGGCTTAGTGAGGGAAGTACCACTGGCTTCCAAACTCAGCCACAGATCCCTGGTGCACCTATTGCTCCCTGTGCTGTTGTCCTCTGAACACCACAAATGTGAAACTGAATGAAAAAACCCACAATGTTTAGTATTTTAGATTGCGTTTATGGTTTTCTTCCTGTGTCTTTTTATTTTGTGAACTGTTTTCTCTCAGAAATGCTCAGAATTCTCTCAGAATTTCTCTCAGAAATGTTGACATGCACTTGCCAGCAAAGTGCATGTCAACAGTCTGAAAATTCATATTCCACTCCTGCAAGTAAATACATGTAGTGACAGGAGGCTGAGGACTTATTTGCAGTTGTGCCCTGCTCATGACCTTGCTGGAGATTGCTTGTGCGAGGGAGGAACAGTCATGGACTATGTACTGGGAGCAGCCAAGCAGATGTTCCACCCAAATAGCTGTTGCCAAGAAGCCACTTAATTATTGTGCATCAGAAGTAGCACTCTTAACGTTTTGACAGGCAAGAAGCTAATCTAATATCTTAGAAAAAAATAGGGGAGTGTTTATTATTATTTAGAATATAACTAAGCATCCTTTGGTAAGAATCTTTAGTCATTTTAAGGGTAACCTAGCTTTATGAACTACATCCAAGTTATGTGGTTATTACCATACTTAAGAGTAGTCTTAACTTTGTGAACTCTCTCAACTACTTCACTGCCCTCACTGGGGTGGGGACTCCTAGGCAACTTGGTGAAAAATGAATTGCTTTGTTATTTTTTTTAGAAACACATCAGTAGGGTGGCCACTAGAACAAGATGTTTAAAACTCTAAACAAAGACAATTGAGAAACTGTGAAATAAAGACAGTATTTCTTTTCTTACAGCATTGTTATAACATGCAGTGCAGCCAGGAAACCATTGAAGTGGAGCACCAAATTTAATTTTGTCCTTTTCTCATGCTTACTATGATAATGGCTTTCACAGGTGTTTTCAAGAAACTCTGGACTACCAGAATTGTTGTTGGAACACTCACTCTCCCCTGGTACTGAGTAGGAACCATAATTCTTTCAGTGTTACTTTTCACAGAATGACCAACTGAAAATGAAGGCAGAGGGAAAGACAAAAATACAAACAAACCAAAACCCTAACCCAAATAACCACTCTTCTACTTCACAGGATCAGTGATGGCTACTGGGCAAATTGCCTGGGGCCCATTGTGGACAATATGGCAAACATGTACTGGCTGAACGTGCAGCTAGAAATAAAACCAAACAAGGTTTTGGTGTACACGTGGAATGGGATGAGGAGTAATAGAGAAAATGGAAACAGCATGTGTCAGCTGGGTGGTGTTGCACATCACTCCTCCCTCTCATAAAATGAACTCCAAAGGTAAAAGGGCTCTGAGAAAGCTGTCAGAAATTACTGGGTATATGGGAAAATGCCATCATTAAAATATGACAGGAATGAAAAGTCTGAAATTACTTCCTTGGTTTAGGAAAGTAATGTGTGGGACATGATGGAAAGAAAGTAAAGTTGGGTTGTTTTGTATTCCACGTCACACAAAGTTCAGCTGAATTACAAAGTGGCACATTTGAAATGATTAAAAAAAAAATTTCCCCCCTTCCCACATTAAGAAATTAATTACCCCATACCACCAATGAAGTGATGAACTAGATTTAAAAAGGAAATGGACATTTGTATGGTTAAGAATGATAGCCAGTTACAGGTTTGTGCAGATGTACTTTGAAAGAGAATTTGGATGAGATGCCAGGCACCAGGGTCTGAAGCAAGCTGTGGCTCACTGTGAGGAGGCAGGCGGTCAGTCTGGGACTCCAATGAACCTGACACTGCTTACCCTCACAATGCTTGTGTGCTGGTTTACACCAGCCAGGACTGGAGGCAGGACACCCAAACCAGAGGCTGTGCTTGCTATTGTGAGTTAAATCTGACAGTGATCATCCTCTGGCATCTGGGCCAAGTGGATGCAGACTGTTCCTTACAATATCCCTTGATGCTCAGGCTCCAAAGCTGGGTTGCACACCATCTCCACTGGGAATAACTCAGTGGTAAGAAGCCAATGAAGAGATTGCTAGGGTGGCTCAGGGGAAACATTTGTAGGGCTCTTACTGTTTATAGGCATTCAGATTTCAACACGTGCTCAGACACATCAGTCGACTAGTACATCTGTAGCCAGAGAGACTTGAAGTGTGTCTGATAACAATGCTCCTCCACAAGAAAGATCCTATGTAACAGTATTTTTGCCAGCGTAGGCAATGGTTTCTGCTCTTTCATTCACATGCCTACTAATTCTTTGACACCACATCCACATTAAATGTCTGAGGAAGCTCCTCTCCACCCCAGTAATACTTTTACAGCAGCACTTTTTATCCATACAACATACAATGGGTTTGAAAGTCTTGTAACATGATACAGGATGCAAGGTGGTGATGATACAGCAAAAGAAAAACTGCTTGATGTTTAAATTGCAGACATCAAAGTCATGAAAGGGCATATGGCCAGCATTAAAATGTTTCTGAAGTGAGACGAAGCTGAGTGTAATCAGTCTGTTCTCTAGCCATCATTTGACTGTGAGGTAAACTGGCCCATTTCTCCTTGGGAAGGGTAGGAAACGCAGAAAAGCAGGAGCTGTGCCTGCTTCTGAAACCTTCACATTTGAGTATGGAAGCCATAGCTAAAAAGAACAAATAAATAAGAGAAGTGCAAAATAAG